GACTCTATTAGCTAATGATCATATTACACAGTCATTGAAGAACCAGGGCAACAGCACTGAAGACATGAACTTCCTTCTGCTAGAATCAAAGTTCACATTTGTCTATCATTCACTAGCACAGAGAATACAACCAAAAACTGTTCAGCACTTCAATTGCAGGGCACATTAGAGACCTACGAAGTATTCTTAAAGTGTGATTTCCTTAACACTTAGACCTGTGTCAGCTGTCCACAATCTTTTAAAACTTGAGTAGCTGTTCATGTTTCACCCACAAAATTAAGACCTCTGAGCTTCTTCAGTAAGACAAAATGTTATTAAAAAAAACTTATCCCTTCAAAACAAAAACAATTTAAAAGGCTCTTATAAAATAAATTAACATCATGAATCTTAGATAAGGGAAGTATCTAAGAGTTATTAATAAGTTATTTTTGTCAGTGAAAATTAAATAACCATCAAGTTAATGTTTACAAAAAGCATCTTTAGTACTTCTATCTCTTGAAAACAAGAAGATTGTAAGGAAAACCTCTCAAAATCTGAAAAAAAATCTAGAAACTCAGAACCTCCAAAGGTAAGTTACCTGGTTGGTAAAGCATAAGCTAGGATACAAATTATTAAATGTGAAAGGAGCAATCCTTCAAGCAAACACAACTGAAACCTTAAGTTTCTAAACTTTGTCATTCTTCTATGACGCAGTGTTACAATAAGTTTCATTGTGCTTGTTCCATACTTAGGCAACTTCTTAGCATTGTAGTCTGTGCAGGTTAAGTTCACTAGCATTTCAAGTTCCTGACATTGGAGGGACAGATGTTATACAAACTTTTCTACATTATCAACCATTTTACAAGGGTAACAATTTTCAGATTCCTAGTGATGTTTTAACTAATCTCACATGGCAGGCATGCACAGAAGTCCTATTAACCTCTGCCTTATGGCACACATTTAGCATGCAAGCGTCAGTTACAGCTCCACAGTAAAGTTCATTTTTATATCGGGTAGCAGAATTACAACTGGCTTGACGGCTCAGGAACAAATCTGCACTTTCCAGAAAGGGACACCGCACACCGAGCCAGCCAGAGCTCGAGAAGCATTCAGACAACGCTCTCAGACACACAGTGGGTTTCTTGGGGTCGTTCTATGCAGGGCCAGCTGGACCCCAGGATTCTCGTGGGGCACTTCCAACTCAGGATATTTTGTGATGCCCTTCCGTGCAGGAACGCTACTCTGAAAAAGTACTTCTGAGCTAAGCGAGCAGCTTCAGAGTTTCTCCAGGACGGAGTCGCCCTGGGGTTCCCGGCTGCCCAGAGTTCCTGAGATGGTGCAAGGCCTCCGGGTTTTCCGCCCGGCAGCAGCCCCGCTCGGAGCTCCGCCGCCCTCGGGAGCGAGAATAAGCGCCCCGCTCACCGGGGAGCCGCAGCCCGCCGGTCCGCACTCCGCCACGGGCTCCCCGGCTCCTTTCCCCCGTCCCTCCCACGTGCGCCGCGGGAGCCGCAGCCCGGGCCGGCGCGGGGCTGGCTGTGTAACGCGGCCGGCCCGGGGGAGGGCGAGCAGCCCAGGGAAGCCGGCGCTGGCGGCGGCCCAATCGGGCGCGGAGGGGAGGGGATGGCGGAGCGGCAGCGTGACCGAATACATAACGCGGGGATTAGGGCCCCCGCAGCGCCCCGCACTCACCGCCACCTGTTGATGCCCACGTTGGAGGAGCCGGCGAACCAGGGGTCCAGGATGTAGACGCAGCGCACCGTGTCGGCGCCCTGGATGCATTCCCGCAGCGCCGGGTTGTCGTGGAGCCGCAGCCCCTTGCGGAACCAGTGTACGGCGTTCACCCCCATGCCGGGTGCGGGCGCTCAGCGGGAACCGCCGCCGCCCGCGGGGCCGTTCATGGCCCGGCGCCGCCGGGCGAGCACGGACGGGCGGCGGGGCGGGCACGGGGCCGCGAGGCGGCTCCTGGCGGCGCCGCTTCCGCCGGGAGGCGCAGGCGCGCGCGCCCCCGGGGCTGTTATGTATCGCGCGCCGTGCCCGCGGGGGCTCCGCGCGCGGCGCTTACATAAGCGCGTGCGCAGGCAGCGCCCGCCGGCGCCGTGACGCCGAGCGAGGGCTCGTGCTGCCCGGTGCCGCCCGGCCGCGCCGGTCAAAAGGCACCCCCGGGCCGGAGAGAGCGGCTCGGCCGTGCGGCGCTGCCGCGCCCAAGCGGGCTGTCAAGCAGCAGAACGGGTTAAAATGGTCCCTGCTGGCGCGCCGTTAGTAAAGTCATTACCAGCGGTGAATTCCGCACGCTGTTAATTACAGAGCTCAAACCACCCGCTGTCGGCACCGCGGGTTTCCCTGGACCTGCTCCTTGGTTACACGGCAGCCACTCGCTAGAACCCTTTGGAGCCTTAGCAGGGCAGCTCTAGATGCAGATCTGAAAATAAACCCACCTGTGGATTGCAGCTCAAATCTACACCTTCACAGACATAGCAACAGCAAGAGTGGTCTCAATAGAATTAATGTCTCAAGTAAAAGGCAGAGGACCCAAATCAGCAGTACAACCTCAAGAATTCCAGACAGTACTTTTAAGAACTGCCATTTTTCTTTCTCCTAAAATATTTATTCTGCTAAGATCCACAGAAAGTAAAATCAACAAGAGACACATGCATCATATGTTTCCCTTCGTGCCTTTCTGTCCTCACTTTGAATGACATAATAACCTCAGTAATAGAATCACAGAATCATTTAGGTTGGAAAGGCCTCCGAGGCCAGCTTTTGACTGACCACCACCATCTCAGCCAGGCCCTGGCACTGAGTGCCACATCCACTTGTTTCCTGAACACCTCCAGGGACAGTGACTCCCTCACCTCCCTGGGCAGCTCATTCCAATGTTTAACAGCCCTGTTGGTGGAAAAATTCCAAGCTGAACCTCCCCTTGTGCAGCTTGTTTCCTCCTGCTGTCCAAGCTGAACCTCCCCTTGTGCAGCTTGAGGCTGTGTCCTGTCACAGCTTGCCTGGCAGAGGAGGCCCCACCTGTGACTGACGATCAAGGTATGCCAAGGCCCCAGCCATGATTAGAATCCCTCTCTGCTTGGTCTTACACTAAATTTATTTCTAAAAGGTGTAGCATGTGGAGACTGAACAGTTTTTGAGCACAGATTTTAACAATAGCATAAATTAGGATGAGTTTCTCAATTATCACTTCATTGTAGAACATAATATTCCACAGCTCATCATTCTGACCCAAGAAGCACATATGGGATCCTTGCTGCAAGTCAGAGCTGGAGCAGTGGGGTCGTTGTAAAGTCAAACATTGCTTTCTCAATTAATACAAAGTACGTTCTTATTTGCCTGGTAGTTTTTTATTATTATCATTATATGCCAAATATTTCGTAATTAATTTTGAAATAAATGAAAAACAAAAAGGAATTCAGTAGTTAATGACCAGTGTCCATCAAACTCATTTGAATTCTATAATTTTTGAACACACTGAAGAAGTAGATTCCTTATTTTCAAGGAAAGTCACTTCACAACATAGTTTTTTATTTCAAACATTTAAATTGCTTTTTCATACTCATTATGTGTCCTGCTAGCTCCCCACAAGGCTGCCACACTGAAGATAGCCCTGAATAAAGTCCAGCATCAACCAATCTGCCTTCTTGGGAATACTGAGGTGGAAACAGCCCTTCCTCACTAGGCCTTTTGGTTTCGTAAACAAATTGCAGTCATGAAAACCATCAGTCCCTAAGCTGTTTGTTGCTACAGGCTGAATAACAATTGCAGTATATCATTAGCATATCGTTATGTCAAAACACTCTTTGGGTCTGTCTGGCCATGCCTTCTGTGTGAGACAGTTTGTTCTTCACTCAGAAGTGAGAGAAAGAACATATTCATGTATAATTAATATTGTATTAGGATATATGAATATATAATAGATGCAGACTGTATTAATTAAAATGTCAGATCTCGAGGGAAGAGCCAGTCCAACTTAGTTGAAATAGAAAATAGAATGACAGTTAATCAAGGAACTCACACGAGTAAACCTCTCTACAGTGTTCTCATGTGAATAACTTTTTTAAACAATGTTGCTAATTTAGCCCAGACGGTGATTGCAAAAATTAAGAGTGGGGAGAAGATAGAAGGGAAAAAAGATAACATGAAGGCATGAAGTGAAAAAACCATGAAGAAGCAAGTGTACAGTACATTTTGTGTCACAAATTAGAAGCTGTTTTTTTAATGCATGTTTTTAACATTAGTGTATGCATTATATTCACAGACTTTGTTAACTGTTCTAGGAAGAGCTGTTATTTAGGAGACCAAGCCTGAACCCTGCTCCTACAGCAAAGTTTCTTTCTATAGCATTTCTCTTCTTCCTTCATTAGCTCTTTTTCACAGACCCAACAGAGACTACTGAACATGTCGCTGATAAAAGAAAGGTTCACAGAGACAGCAGCAGTGATTTTCACTCTTTGAAAGATGTGATTGTACAGATTTGGAGTCAGTTAAAAAAGCCCAATACCTCTAGTAAAATATTTCTACTCTAGAAATCATTTATGTGACTCTTGATTTCTACTCTAGATGAGAAAGGTAAGTAGATATAACTAAAAAAAAATAAGATATAGGAAGATGGTTCTCACCATCACAGCTCAATGAATTTCTGAAAAGCCACCAGCAAAACAATATAAGCTTAATGACTAGATGTGAATTTAATTATGTAATAAGGCAGTGGTCATATAAGGAAGATACCCTGGCGTAAGGCAAGCCTCCCATCATGATGTCGAATGAAAAGGATCATCTGCTTCCCGTCAGAGCAGGGGCACTCAAGTAGTCTGACTTTTAATATTCCGTTCTTTGCTATTATGTTACTCAGAAATTATTATAAAAATATTTTTTCTATTCACCCCACCCCTTCTCTCTGCAAGCTGTTTCAATCCAGCAGCCCTTCACTTTCCTGCCGCGGGCCCGGCCTGCCCTGCCAGGCAGCGCAGCCGCCCCTCCCCTGCGGCACCTGGTACGCGCCGGCGCCCCCCGCGCGGCGGCGGCGGTGGTGCGGCCCAGCGGCG